AAAAACACAGTAGATCACAACAAAGCAAATGAATTAGCTATGTATAGAAATACCTGAAAAGGGCGTTGCCTGTGGCAGGTTCGAACCCAGCCCTGGCCAAACTGCAACAACAAAAGAAATAGCCAGGGATTGTGGCGGGTGCCTATAGTTCCAGCTACTTGGAAGGCTGAGGCAAGAGACTCGCCTAAGCCCAGGAGTTGGAGGTTGTTGTGAGCTATGACGCCACGCACTCTATTGAGGGCGATAAAGTGAGACTCTGTCTCAAAAAAAAACTCTGAAAATACAGAAACTCCCAAATCTAAGCAAATATAGTATAGAATAATGGCATCTACTATGAAATAGGAATGTCAATGACTTGAAAGCTAAAACCTAATGACTTGTAAAAACCCATATTAACAGAATGAGGATTACCATCTGAAAAAAACAATTTGCTAACAAAAATCCCTTTAAACACCTTGAAAAACATAAACTGCCCATTTGAAGAGATGGCAGTGCTATTTTAACAAAACTCTGGTACTCAGTGGCTCACATCTATAACCCTAGCATTCTGGGAGGCCAACACAGGTAGATTACCTGAGCTCAGGAGTTGGAGACCAGCCTGAGCTGGAACAAGACCCCCATCTTTAAAAAAAATACCTAGGTGTTGTGGTGGGCACCTATAGTCCCAGCTACTCAGGAGGCTAAGACAAGAGAATTACTTGAGCCCAAGAGTTTGAGGTTACTGTTAGCTATGAAGTCATGGCACTTGATCTCAGGGCAACTGAGACTCTGTCTAAAAAGAAAACAAAAAACAAGAAAATAAAAACAAACTCTAATACTCGGAATCTTTTTTTTTTTTTTTTGAGACAGTCTGAGACAGACTGTGTCACACAGGCTAGGGTACCACGGCGTCAGCATAGCTTACAGCCACCTCAGACTCTTAGGTTGAAGCAATCTTCCTGCCTTGGCCTCCTGAGTAGCTGGGACTACAGGCACCTGCCATAACACCTGGCGAATATTTTTTGTTTTTAGTAGAGGCAGGGTCTTGCTCTTGCTCAGGCTGGTCTCAAACTGCTGAGCTCAAGCAATCCACCCACCTTGACCTCCCAGAGTGCTAGGTTTCCAGTTATGAGTCACCACGCCTAGCCCCATGATCCCTTTTCTTAAAATTGTATGCTCACACTGTCATAATCCAAAACAGAGGTCAAGCCTTCTGGCTCACCACCATATCCATTTACACTTTTTTTTTTTAAATTAGGAACATACATATATTGTTTATACTTGCTTTCATTTTTTTTTTTTGTACGATAGGTCTTTATTGGTGGGGGGAGGCTGCAGAGCAGCACTGAGGAGGAGAGAGAGGCTCGGCGCCTATGGCTCAAGCGGCTAAGGCGCCAGCCACATACACCTAAGGTGG